CGCCGCAGCGTCCCGGCCAGAACTCTGCCCCCTTTCCGCCGTTATTCGTTTGGTTTGTTACTACCACCGAGCATTTTTTGAGGTTACGTTGTAGGCTCCTCCCTGGAACTGAGCCCTGCCGCGCTGGGCAGTTCATACATAACCTGGTATCAACGCATGTGGTACTGCCGTCGTAGCATTCCCACTGGCTTTTGCAGGATCAGGGCCAAAAAGGGCTAGAGGCCCTAGTCTGGAAGTTGCAAAAAGGGGTACTTGCCGTGGCTCCAAAAGGAATTTATTTCTTTTGCAAAGTAAAGGCCCATTTGTACAGTTTTTAACTGTGCACATTGCTTTAACATGATGTCAGCAGCACCGTCTGACTTGCTGGCATGTTAATTATTCTCTAATGTTTTTCAGTCAAATTGAAAGTGATCTATTACTCCTCAGCATTCCCAATTTCACACCATATTTTTCTACTGGGAAAAGGCAGAAGTGATCTTTTTTTGCTTAGAAATGAAATGGTGCGTGTCTATTCGGAGGTGAGAGGCAGCCTGAGCGATGAGCCTTGTGCTGGGCTGTGTGATGTGATGCACGTAGGCTGCGGAGGGCACGGCTCCCCTCCCTGCCTCCTACACTGCCGCGGCGCAGCTCTCTGCTGTGCTGCTTGCAATGACTCACAGGAAGGCTAAAGAGGATCAGGCCCGGAGCCCTCTCCACGCAGACATTTTACACACAGGAATCGAACACGTGTTAATTTTTCACAAAGTCCCAGCACTGCTCCTGCTAGAAGGCTTGACCGTACATACGTACATGTTACACATGTGAACACATGGCCCTGAATGAAGAGTAAGGGATGGTATTATATGGGAGCGCTTTGGAGTGGCACAAACTATAATCCTGAGAACTGGAGCACTTACTTTCTAAGTGATTAACGGTGCTATTAGGAATTGAAGATAAGTTTCCTTCCTTTGATATCCTCAGTTCCCTGCCGTTGCGTAGTGCCAGTTATTCCTCCCACCTTTCTGCCTCCCAGATCTTTTGCATGGAGGTGGGGTGGAAATTCTGTCAGTGCACGAAGGAAAACTTGAGAGCAATATCAGCACTGGTGTGCTTGCTCTGGGGCCTGCCAGGCCCAAAGAGGCAGACCCTGGCCATGCTGCCACACAATGGAGAGACATCCGCAATTTCGCTCTCTTTTGCCTCCTTGACTAAGGAAGAAGCAGTGCGTACGTTTTCATAGCTTCTAAAGATGCATTTTTAGAAGTTAACCAAATACCACTGTACTTGTGCATACCCCTCTCTCAAGCAATTGCTCCACACTCATGCATTCATAATGCATTTTCTGGATGTACAGCATCTGTCTTAATTGCCTGTGATTAAAATAAGAACAATGAAGGAATGTGTCTAAGAGCAAAATACTGACAGGTAAAATGTTTTACAGAAATATACCAAAGAGTATTCTAATGCTGTGCCAGAGACAGAGGCAAAGGCAGCTTTTACGTTCCCTATTAGAGACTATAAGGGTTGTTAGCAAGTAGAGGTGGTCTTCATTGTACTTGTGCCATGAGGTATCTAAGGAACACACATTTCAGGGTCTGGATGCTCTGAGAATAACTCTGAAAGTAGCATAGAAAGGCTTCAGAAGATACGTAGGGTGGGCTGAAGGCTTTCCTGGAGGCTGATTGCAAATAGCAGGGCTGGGACATTCACGGGTTGCAGTTGTACATACCCAACTGCATCGCAGCCAAAACCTGAGCACAGAGCAACTGGACCAGGGAAGAGGAGCCAGGAGAACATCAGAGAACGCTGGTGCTGTGGCTCCAAGATCAGGCAGGGGCAGCATTCTTTGACTGAGTGGCTTTGTGAAGAAGGCAGATTGATTTCTGGAGAAGGAAACTGCCTCCCCATGGAAGGTCCTGCTGTGTTTAGGGGCTTTGTAGCCATTCTGCCAAAAGAATACCTACCTCATGTCATGCCTTCCTTCCTCAATGGGCAGCTCCACAAGGCTTTAAGTGGAGTGAACAATATTTAATAAGATATACTGTGTTTAGATGCTAAGTAGCACATTGCTTTATTGGCTGTACTGCTTTAATTCACCAAAGCAGCTTTCATTTGTTATCCCAACAAAGCATGTTTGCAGGTTGAGGTGCAGGCTTGTATTTAAAGACCGTGGCTGCAAAGCAAAGCTGTGATAGGGACAAAATGGGATGTTCACAATAGAGCTCAGAATAGGGGGGAGATGGGGTTTGTTCTTCCAGAAAAAAAAAAGTCACAATACACCTAACTTTAGAGATTCAGGAAACATATCTGTACTCAATCTTTTTATTTTACTTTGTAAGCAAATGATCTTGTCTGACCGAGGGCTTGAATAATAAATATTTATACGTAAATCTTCCTTTCATAATTAATTCATCACTTTGGCCTCCGGGAGTAGCTCACTGTGCCTCTGCCTCATTTTGAGCTGTGCTCTAATCTTCACTGTCACTGCAAATTGTTCAATGGATGAAAAGGGGAGGGCAGAACAGTGAACAGTGGGTTTTTCCACTTACTCCCTCTGCCTATGCTAAGCCCAGGGAGACTCACAGCACAAGTTTTTCTGCTAACCAGCTAGATGTCCATGTAGCGTTAGATCTAAGGAGGACCTGGTCTGCAATCCATCCCTTTTAAATAAGAGGCAATCATGTCGTTCCTCCTTTGGGAGGGAGGTCCGAATGCCACATTGATAGCCACATCTATTGATTTAAATGTATTTTGAAATCAGGTCAAGATAGTTCTATCTAAATTTGGCCAGGCTGTTGCGCATGAACAGGGTAAAGGCATATCCAAATGGAGTGTTCATCTTCACACAAAAGACTAAGCTGTTTTTAAAAAGAAAAGCTGCTGTAAAGAGTATTTTGAGAAGGCACCTTCCATCTCAACCACGGGTGTTTCCAGAACAACAAGACATTCTCAGTCATAAGGCTCCTGCTGGATTTTAACTTTTATTTAAGCAGCAGACAAGATGTTAAAACAGCAGTGGGTAGCAGCTACTAAGGTACTGTTGCCTTTTGCATTTGTGCCAGATACTGGTAACATGTCTACAACTGCGGTGCTCAAAAACCATGGTGAGGGTTGAGGAATAAGCTGTTACCACCCAAGGGCACCTCAAGCAAAGGTGGTGTTGTTCCAGCCTACGTTGCCAGCACTGATGTCAAAGAAGCTGACATAGATTCTGAAAGGGAAGACAGACAAGGTGAGCTGCTGAGAGCAGAGTGCTGCAGGCTGGCCAGGGTGTCCCTGCAACAGGACACACAGATCCATGCTGTAGACCGTCCCGCAGGGCTTTATGCTTCTCAGGCCTCCCCCACCCCACCCCCCTTAATGCCTTGCCTACTTGCATTCTGGAGTTCCTAGTGGTTTTCTAGGATGCTGTATTTTCTTTATAGTCATTTCTGGAGCAGATTGGCGTACTTTCAGGAAAAGGACTAGAAAGGCTTTTATATAAGTGGAAGCTTTTGTAATAGACCTCCACTTGTACCCCATAGGCAGTAGGGAAGTGTTGGTGCATGTTACTCAAGTTATCAGTTTAATAATATCAAGTTACTCTGTCTGTACCTGGGCTTTTGCACCTGAGATCTGTGGGTACATGCAGTGCCTGAGCCTCCACCATTTTAACTAAGAAATTTTTCAGCTTCTGGGCATTGGCATTGCAGCTCATGCAATTGCTCCTTTCCTCTTTTTAATTGGAGAGTTGCTCTATTGACTTGGCATTTAGCCTCTTCGAGCAGCATGTGAATAGAAGAACACCAAAGGACAAATTTGGATTAATAGTTTTAACAATCTGTGGAAAGTGATGTCAGACAAGTTGCTGTATGAGCTTACCTGTCAGATGGTACTTCCAGCTG